TGAAAAGGAAAGCTAGCAAAGCAAGAGGAGGGGGACGGCAGGCGGAAGGTAAGGAGGAGTGGTACAATTAGGCCTTCCCTTCGGTATGCGATATCAGTATGTAAAGTTCATTTCTCTCGTAGCCCATTGAAATTTCTGGTTTGAGGAACTTCACCGCTATAACGAGCATCGATAAGCTGTCGCAAGCAATCAATCAAAGCGACTCCCGTCTTTATTCTATATAATATGTCTCGGGCCCTGCCCCTGTCTACAGCTATGCTATCTCTATTACTGCTAAGGTAAAGGTCGATCNGAGTTGTGTCCGCAATATTATGTAGCATCGACTATAGTCTAATTTTGGCCCAAGAGAGTCTGCTCATGGGCGTCCCTATAGTTCTCTATGGATGATCGTGTCAACTCGAATGTGAATTTAGTATTTTTGATGAAGATTACTTCATATAAATTGAAACAAATGACACGAAAGAAAGATAACAATAATCTATATATATGTGTGTGTGTGTGTGTGTGATTACTTCATAAAAATTGAAACAAATGACACGAAAGAAAGATAACAATAATCTATCTATCTATCTATATATAAAATCATTATTAACTTTTTAGTCCGTTGAAGAGTTCATTGTTACACATCTCGCATCCGTTGGATCAGCTTAGGGGAAAGGCTAAGTGCTTCTGAGTTAAAAAGAGCTAGCAAGGCAAGAGGAGGGGGATGGTAATGGAAAAGGTAAGGAGGAGTGGTACAATTAGGCCTTCCCTTCTGTATGCGATGTCAGTACGTAAAATTCATTTCTTTAGTAGCACATTGAAATTTTTGGTTTGAGAAACTTCACCGCTATTACAAGTTTCGATAAGTTGTCGCAAGAAATCAATCAAATTTTTGGTCTGTGCACCCTTTATACTCCTAGCCCCAAGGGAGCCTTCCTCCATGGATATTACATCACCAAGCTGCTCCATCCAGGAATCGAACTCTCCACCCTGAGGTTGCAAGCCCAGCAGTGCCCATCCTTTGCCAACTTGGATGTGCCCCGGGGGGCATTGTTAGTCCATTTTTTAATCTTATTACATGCATTTGGTTTCAGGTTATTAATTGAGCGAATTGACAGCATTCAATCCAATTTAAGCAAATAATTCAAAATTCAAAAGTTCATACCACATTGCATTCCAAGTGTAAAACCATCTTCTACATCAAATTGGTATTTATTTACCCCTCCTACACTCGTAGGTTGCTGAGAAATTAAATGAACAAACCCCAATGTCTAAGAAAATCGAAAAACTCCCCGCAATACATTGTTATCATTTCGTTACGATCAAGTCACTTGAGAACTTGATAAATGAATCTATCATCGTAACATAAGTTATCTTGTATTGTCAAATAGTTGCAAAATAATTTTTTCGTGTTTTTAAACATAAAATAGATTCAAAAATCAGGTATTTGAAATGAGGCAAATCAATATTAAGATTTTAAGTTTCAAAATTCTTAAATCAGGTATTAGTTAATTAATTAAATATTTATTTATTAATTAAATATATTAAGGTCACAGTTATAGAATTAATGATCACAAATTGTTCACAGTTTATTTGCAGGTCACAGATTTCCAAATTAGTTGGTCACAAATTTTTTAATGGTCACATATGAAAAAAATTGTAGGTCATAATTAATTCGTCAGTAACAGATTTCAAAATTTATACGTCACACAGTCATAGATTTCCAAACTAGTTAGTCATATATTCTTTCACGGTCTTTTTAGGTCACATATAACAAAATGGTTGGTCACAAATTAACCAACACCGCCGCCACCACCAACGCCAAAGAAACGTACCACTGCCAAAACGACGCAATGACAGCACCACAACACCACCACCACTAGATCCAATATACTGCCAACAAAAATCATCACAATCACCACTGCCACCGCCACCGTCGCTACCATTTTGCAACCCACCAATAACAATTTGCACCACTACTATCGCACCACCAACACCACTACCACCAAAACCAACGCCTCACCACCACCACCATATCCAACACCCCCTGCACCAACACTGTAGCACCACCATATCTGCCACCATCTCAAATCCCCAAACCACCCTAAAATCACCCAAAACTGATAGTTCAATAGTAGCCTTGTAGCGGTGGGAGCTCTTACCTACTGTAGCAGCGGAGACGGTGATGCCTCTACCGGATTTCACAACACCGGCTGTGAGGGAAACACAACAGCGTAGCCGCTGCCGACTCTCACAACGACGACTGTGAGGGGGAAACATCAAGCGGTGTCTCCGGCGGCTGGCACTTCGTCGACAACGACGGCTAAGGATGAGGGTAGAGAGAGAGAGAGAATATGAAGAGAATGAGAGGAATGAGGATAGAAGAAATAATTTAGGGTTTGTTTGTAACTAGGTAGGTGGGTATAATATTTAATTATTAATTCAATACTTGATTTTTTATTAAATAAAATTCATACCTGAATTTTGAATTTGAAAAATTGAATGTCTGATTTTTTGTAATTTCCCTTGATTAGGTCATGTAAGTAGGCTCGGTTCTGGCCCAATGTCACTGAGGCAGTGGCCTTGGGCCTCAAGGTATAAGGGGGCCTCAATTTTTTTGAAAGTCAAAAACAATTATCTTTATGAAATATGCAAATTATACTTGGTACTAATATAAATTTTAATTTCAATTTTACCACCCACCTTTTTTTTTTATTCTGAAAGTACATTTAGTTTTGAAGGGAAAATAAATAATTTTTAATAAAAAAAAATAACATAAATTAGCTTGATTATTGAAACATTTCGAGGCTAATTAATGGACAGTTTAACGAATTAAGAAATTTAGAAATTTCAAGAAGACAAATTAGTTAGAATAAAAAAAAATTTGTGTTAGTTTATATAATATGTATTATACACTATATATAAAAAATTTTGTAGTATATCATAAAATATTTTAAATTAATGGGTAAATATGAATTTTCCTTCGTCAACATGAAAATTGATTGTCGAACGAATCAAATGGTGAGTGGGTATTATAGGTCTAATGTTTTCCATCATGAAAAATTGTTTAATTCGAACACGTTTGACGCTAATATGCTCGTAAAAAAATTATGTGTAGGGGCCTCATGATAATTTTTCGTTTAGGGCCTCAAAATTTTCAGGGCAGACCCTGCATGTAAGAACAATTCTCAAGTCTACTGATTTGTTATAATACCTCAATTGCATGTATTAATTTACTTACAATTAACATCTACATTCCAAAATCCTTATACCTAGATTTCAGGCTGCCTCATAGAAGATACGACAAATAGCAGTGTTGGTTGTTCAGAAGATCAAGCAAGTACAATGCAAGTATAGGATCGGGGAATAGCCTTTTGGACAAGCAATAAAGATTCCGGATAGATGAAATTGCTCGTTCAATTAGGCTCAAGCCTACCAGAGGAAGGGAAGGAAGAATAGTTCATTGATGTGTTCGCATGGTAGAAATTCAAGAAGGCAACTAATCAAAAAATTGTCCTAAATCTCGTAAACTAATAGAAGTTCAGTTTGCTCCCCAAAACTAGTGTCAAGCAACAGCGACGGTCTGGTAGAAATAAATTGTAACAATGAATAACTCTCATAGTAATCTTATGATTTAATTATTGATAGGATTGTCTACAGTATTTTTAAATAACTTAGAGGAACATATTAGAAGATGGATCGATATACCAAAAATAACAAGACTTTTAACCGTTAAGAATCTTGTTTTCTAAACGATTTAACAATGCGGATTAAAATACATCGTTCTTGCATTTCAACATTCAACCTATTGGAGATCTGCTTACACAATACTCACAATTTCACATCATGAGGCCACGCTCTTTATTACTACCCACCAGAAGCCACTCTCTCTCAAAGAGATTTTCTGCACCAAAAACGGCAAAGATTTCTGAGCAAATCAACCCAAGTCAATTTCCCATATGGGGACCCAAAATCCACAAGATTTAATTTTTCTGTAAGCAATTCTATCGGATATGTGCTTTTAATGTGGGCTCAGCGTCAAGCGTACAATGTAACAGTCGATAGAATCATTAGACAGCAATCCTCTTTCCAGTTAATTATTAAAGGCCATTAAAGACGAAACTTTTTTCTTCTAAACAAATCACCAAATATTTTCTTCCTATAACGACCTTTTTCTTGAAATGGTGACAGCGGCTGAGATTGCTTAGTGGGATTTCATCATTTTTTGATACACGTTGCTCCAGAAAGTTAGAGAGAGAGAGGGGGAGAGAAATAGGGCATATAATAGTATAATATTGTTATAGGTTTTGTGACTTTCTGATTGGAAGAAGGGGAGTTTTGAGTGTTTTTTTTTTGAATTTAAGAAGGTGGGTTTTGCTTAAAATTTGAGTATTTTCTCTCTGTGATTATTACTTTCCACCTTTCTTGAATTTGTTCGTTGATTTTTGTTTGTTTAATGATTATGCTTTTTGTAAGAATATCAGAGTTTTCATTGGTGGAAGGTGGAAGTTTCAATGGACTTTTTGAATTTGTTTAGGTTAGGCGACAATGGTTTGAATCTTTGAGACATTTGATGTCTCTCTAGGTTATTATTACACTTTTTTTTTCAAACCTTTTCATGTATATTTTTCAATTTAATCTTTTTAAATTCTGTTTTTAATCTGAGATACCTTTTTGTCCTGTAATACAGTTCTTCACGAGGCTCTGTCAGATTAAAAAATTTTCCAAAAATTAAAAAGAAAAAAACCCATTCTTTATCCCAATTTTAAGGTTTGATGCCCTTTTGTTAATCTTTCCTCCACACTGTGTTTCTGCCTTTTTCATCCCTTATATGTGCGCAACATGTAAAGATTCTAAGCCCATATTTTTGATACACAGTATTCGATATTACCGTTCTTCTTGTTCGTCAATTTATTTAGTACTGTCCAATGTATCTTATTCACTCACATCCTCTCTCATTATCTTTGTCGGTTACACTGTGACAGCATTGTGTTTCTATCTTTCTTGGAGAGAAAAGAATGGGAAAAGCTACAAGGTGGTTAAGAGGCCTGTTGGGAATGAAGAAAGACAAGGAAAATGTTGAGAATAATTCAAATTATGCTGAAAAAAGGGATAAAAAAAGATGGAGTTTTGGAAAATCAGGGAAGGAATCAGGGGGGTTGAGTCAGATTCCGGTGACTAACTCGGGCTGGACGAGATCTTTCATTGCTGAGAATCAGAACGAGCGTGCAATTGCGGTGGCTGCCGCCACAGCTGCGGCTGCGGATGCTGCTGTTGCCGCCGCACAGGCTGCTGCTGTTGTTGTGAGACTCACAAGCCAAAGCAGAGGAGGTTTGTTCAATGGTGGCAGGGAGAGGTGGGCTGCCATCAAGATTCAGTCTGTTTTTAGAGGTTATTTGGTAAGTGGGATTTCAATTTATGTTTGATTTTTGAGTTCTTTAAGTTTTCAAACTGTCTTAAATTGCAATTCTTTAGAGTGGAGCTCATCCTTAAAATCGACTTGTGTTCTTCGTTGTGCTGTCTGATAATTGAAATTTTGTGCACAAAAATTTTAGCACATTGTCTAACTTCAGTACAAGAATTTCAATCTAGAATGTTGTGAATCTATGTTCCACTGTTTGCTTGAAACATTCTAACTAATCAGTACAAATATTATTGTATTTTCATGCATTCGGATAATAATTATGTTTCTTCTATTTTTATTGCCAAGAATTCAAATTTTGAATATTTGCATTTTGAAATTTGATGTTGAGTAGTTTAGATTTGGTTAGGCCTAACTTCAGGGCCTGTATTTAATATTCGTTTTACTGTAATTTTCCTCCTTAATCTGGCTTAAAATCGTCTATGAAGAAGCACAAATCGAGTTATTCGTCTTAGATTCCTTTGTATTTTCTTGTTTGACTTGATTCTGTAAGCGATGCTATTCTCGTTGATCTAATTTTTGTTCACTGCCAGTCCCGAAAAGCTCTAAAGGCGCTAAAAGGATTGGTGAAATTACAGGCTCTTTTTAGAGGCTACATTGTACGAAAGCGTACTGCTGCAACTCTACACAGTATGCAAGCTCTCGTTAGAGCTCAGGCAGCTGTCCGGTTCCAAAGGGCTCGTCGTTCGACCAACACCAACTACAGATTTCATCCAGAGAATCGAGCTAGAAACTCAACTGTAAGTATCAATCTGTAATATATTTGTCTATAGAGTATGTTGTGCCTGGAGAGGACCGTGTAATACTCACTGGGCACGTCCCTCTTATAACAGACTTGGCAAAAAAAATAAAAATCCAAGTGGCTCGACTGAGGAATCATAACATCCATTCTCACTAATACTTCATCCATTTGCAGGAAAGATTTGATGAAACACGAAGCGAATTTCATAGCAAGAGGCTCTCAGCTTCATACAATGACAGCCCAAAGATAGTAGAGATAGACACGTACAAGCCCAAGGCGAGGTCTCGAAGGATCTACACTTGCACATCAGAATATCGTGACGACCAATATTACCAAGAATATTCATCTCCTCTTCCAGGTCCAATCCCGGCTCGTCTATCCATCCCCAATTGCCGTCACCCCCAAGATTTCGACCATTTCTTCTTTGGAGAGGACTGTAAATTGGCTACTGCACAGAGCACTCCCCGGTTCACGAGTTCTCGACCATCCAATGCCCCAGTTACACCTGCTAAGAGTGTATGTGGGGATAGCTTCTTTAGGCCATACTCAAACTGTCCAAATTATATGGCAAATACTCAGTCATTTAAGGCAAAGCTGAGGTCTCTCAGTGCTCCAAAACAAAGGCCAGAAACGGGGCTGAAAAGGAGGCTTTCATTGAATGAAATAATGGCATCAAGATCAAGTTTTAGCGGTGTTCGAATGCAGCAGCCATGTACTAAAGTTCAAGGAGATTTTGGTTTCTAAAAGTTGAATTTACGGAGAACCCATGTTGGAATTGTTGCACATATAATGACTCGTTGACTCAGTTGCTCGAAAACAGAAACACTAAATGTTACGCGATTCTCGTCTTTAACAAGTTTCGACCAAGGATGATGCCTTTATTATCCCATGGTTCTTTTGACATAAAAGAATAGAACAGAGTGCTTGTTGTAAATTCCTCAACAGAGTAAAGTTGAACGAGCTTCTTAAAGATTTTATTATGCTAATTGAAAGGAATCGTATTCACCATTTAAATGTGGAATTCTTGTGGATGCATTTTACTTTTCTTTCGGACTAGATCACGTATACATTTTGCACTTGCAAAATAGTTTTAAATAAGTATTTTAAGAAGTCTTTGGCTGATCCCGACTAATGATAAATTCATGCGATAAGAATTTAGAGAGTTGAGACACGTTATGTGTAAACAGGTTCAACTTGTACTTTATACAACTTTTCATGTAGATACATTTGGTATCGTGGATAGTAGAGACTTGTCTTGAATAAGGAAATAAAGTTATCGTAGTGTAGAGTACGATTTAGTACTAAACTTAAAACATGCACAAAATCCATGGCTAATACACCGTACTCAACATAATTTGATAATATTAATTGAGAAAAAGATAAAATCTTATTTCTAACACTATTCAATACTGCTTAGGACCCCTTTAACGGTACTTTTAATTGGAGTAGAAGAATTTCCTGAAAAAATTATGTTAGTTTTCTCTAAAAGTTCTTCACAAAAATCAATTTTAAAAAAGTGTCTAAATATGTTCAAAAATAGCTTTTGACTTCTTCACAGACTTGCCAAACAGTCTCTTACGAACATACTATGAAAGTTTTGAGGGGGGATCTCGAGTTCTTCTAGTATGAAACAAGAACTCTCCATGTGGCTTCAGTCACAATAACCTAAGCTAACTTATTTGGGAGTGCACTATTTCATGGGAAAACGGCACAATTTTCAATCCCTTGTTCCTTCTGCAACCATGGGAAATCCCTTGTAGAAAATTCTCTCTCTTGTCCGCTTTGAATTTATCTAACCTAATATACAAGAATATTCTCATGTTCATACCACAACAATGGCCGCCAATACCATATTTCAAATTTCAAAATTAAGGTTTCACATGTTTCCATGTTATTATTAATTTTTTTTAAATGATAGGTGTATATTTATTTAATAAATATTGCTTTCAAAAATCTTCTCTTGCCACGAAATTGAATACTTCACTTAATGGCAGAAATTTTAAAAAGTCAAAAGTTGTTTCTATTTGAAATTAAGTAGATGTTTTTGCATATATTTAGTGGGTATCTGGTTGGGATTTTCAGTCAGACACAATTGATTATTGAACCCTTTTTTTGTTACCGTTTCTCATAGACCTTCAGCTGCAATCTTGGAAATGTGATCGTTACTGGGCTTCAACGGTAATAAAAGCAATTTTAAGCTGAAATTAATTGCTGACAGACAGGGTCTTAGATAATTTTTTGAAAGTAACTTGTTTGTTTAAAAGGGTTTTTAGAGAAACTGATCAAATGTAACTTTTCAGAGAATTCTTTTATAGGAAGTTAAATCAAAAATAGAAATAATGCAAAACGTGCCCTAAACGTGTTCATATGTTTTTTGTATTTTTTTAGGCAATATTGTAAACGTTTACGATACTTTTGAGAATTTTTCTATTTGTACAAGGCGTGAGCCCCGTATTTTGAGGAGGTTGTACACCCTGGTGACACATAACATCTCTCTACTTTTGATAGTGTGTACTGTATAACAATATACGATGTTAAAACCAAAAAATGAAATTGAAACTATTTTTAAAATTAAATTATCCAATTGTGATTTGGATAATTCTTGTTGTACATCACCTTGTACATCAAGGTGTCCATAATGGACACCCAGCACCCTCTCGTTGGAGGGAGTGCCGATCCCACCAACCCTCCCTCCAATGAAAGAGCGTCAGGTGTCCATTATGTAGACCCTTATGTTAGTAAAAGGGTTTTTAGAGAAACTGATCCAATGTAACTTTTTAGAGAATTCTTTTATAGGAAGTTAAATCAAAAATAGAAATAATGCAAAACGTGCCCTAAACGTGTTCATATGTTTTTTGTATTTTTTTTTTTAGGCAATATTGTAAACGTTTACGATACTTTTGAGAATTTTTCTATTTGTACAAGGCGTGAGTCCCGTATTTTGAGGAGGCTGTACACTCTGGTGACACATAGCATCTCTCTACTTTTGATAGTGTGTACTGTATAACAATACACGATGTTAAAACCAAAAAATGAAATTGAAACTATTTTTAAAATTAAATTATCCAATTGTGATTTGGATAATTCTTGTTGTACATCAAGGTGTCCATAATGGACACCCAGCACCCTCTCATTGGAGGGAGTGCCGATCCCACCAACCCTCCCTCCAATGAAACAGCGTCAGTGTCCATTATGTAGACCCTTATATTAGTGGTGATGTACCACTAGCATTACCCTTATGATTTTGAGGGATCAAGATTAAAAGCAAGGTTGAAAGATTATTGGTCCAAATGGATCTTAAACATCAAATCAAATCATGATTAGATATTGATTTGATTGATGTGTTTTGGTGGGAATATCTTCTTGAGACTTGTAGCTTGCATCATCTATTAGACTTGATACACTGTACCTGGTAAAAAGACATAATTATAAGGATGTTTTGGTTATTGTGTTTTCTTTGACTGTATTTACGTATTTTGGGCAACATCTCGTGTGCCGTGTCGATGAGATCATGAATGATTTTTTGGATTTAAAATTGCACTTTTATATTTAGGCACTGTTTGACACACATTAAAATTTTTATTCTCATTTTTCTACTATTTTCAACCACACATTTTTCAATAAAATAATATTTTCTATTAAATCAATAAATTTTCCTTCTTTTTCAACCACACATTCTCCATCAATCTACTATTCCAAAATACATTCTTTCAAAATAATATCCATCAAACATACCCTTAGATTCAAAGATGGAATTTGAGTGGAAATAATTTTTGTCTTTAATTTAATTAAAATTTAGATTTTAATCAAACATAACCTCAGATCAAGCTTGAAGTGGTATGATTGACCAAGGCTTCCACTGACTAAAGCCATCACAAAACTGACAGGTCCAACGGTCAAAAAACAAGATTTCAAAATTTGAGATGTTTAAAATGTACATGGTTACCAAACGGTGCCTTAATCAAACATAACCTCAGATCAAGCTTGAAGTGGTATGATTGACCAAGGCTTCCACTGACTAAAGCCATCACAAAACTGACAGGTCCAACGGTCAAAAAACAAGATTTCAAAATTTGAGATGTTTAAAATGTACACATGTGCCAACGGTCATCTTTTATCCCTTTATTGGCTTTGTATATTCTTCCTCCCTCCATAACCCATCAAGAAATCACCAGTAATAAAACAAGAAATCAGAAAAAGCCCAAACGAAAAAGAGTTCCTTTGCATTCTTCAAAGAACCTGCAGTGAATTCAAAAATAAAATAAAATAATGGAGGGTTCTGCTGAAGGATTTTCATCATCAAACACTCCCAGATCTCCTCTAGTTCCAAAATCATCACGTTCAGGTATGTCCCCATCTCAATATTTACTGTGGTGTAAGTTAAGTAGAACTTTGATTTTTTTAAACCAAGAATCTATATTTGATTAGGCTCAGGAGAAAACAATGAGAACGATGCAAGTCAAGACCAAATGATCTCCAAGTTGCATAATCCTAAGAAACCAGTAGCAAAAGCTGCAAAACGTTTTATGTCACCCACTATATCAGCATCTTCAAAGGTTGCGGTTCCAAGAAAGAAAATTTTGGCTGAGAGGAATGAAAATTCAAGCTTTTCCGACACCCAAATTTGGAAAGCTCCAGATGTGGATATGAAAAATGGTATTGGCCACTATGATCTATCCCCATCTTGGTTTATTCCATCTAAAAATTGTGGCCGTGTGTCAAATGATGATGATGTTGTTGCTGATTCGTCTTTGAAGCCTTGTGACCCTTTGACGAATTACCTCTCCCAGAGGCCTAAGTATCTGCGGTATGATCCGAACAAACGACGTATGATCTTTCACCGCAAAGTAAGTGAGAACAGAGAGGGAAAAGATGGTACAGGAATTGGGGAAGAGGAATCTTCAGCAGATGCTCAAAATTCCTTAGTTCATGCTCAAGAAAACCTAGAGGAAGTAGATGAGAATACCGATGATGATGATGATGTGGAGGAGGACGAGGAAGAGGAGGACAAAGAAGGTGGGGAGTATGAGGAAAGAGGATGGAGTTTGAGAGGAGTACTGAAATTTCTTCTGACATTTTATGTCTGTTTTCTGTCAAAGACATACATATATTCTACGAACTCTTCTACACCGTCACCAATTCAACAAGCCATTTTGGGTTTCAAAGATGACTATTCTATGATTCAGAAGCAAATACGTGATGCCGCATATATGGAAGTGTATGGAGGTGGTTTCTTGCAAGTGGAAGAGAGAGAGAGTGGACTCGAGGTCCATAACATACAAGTGGATGATTTGGAAGCTGTGGACAGTAGTGATGCAGAAATGGTTGAAGAAGACGAGTTGGATATGGAGGATAGGAATACCGAAACTGCTGAATCTCACTTTGATTATGAAGTGAGCAAGAATAGTGAACCTTATAATGTACAAATGGTTGAAGCCGATAATGTGGAAAAGGAGAAGGTCAAGACTAGTGAGGTAGAATTGGTCAAAGTCGATAATGTGGAAAGAATTGATAGTGAGGCAGAAATGGTTGGAAATGACAAGTCGAATATGAAGGATAGTAATATGGAGGCTGTTAAATATGACTGTGATAATGAGGTGGTTAAGACTGTTGAATTTTCTGAAGGGAAAACTGCTCCAAATGACGATGCTGGTAGCTATGAATTGGTGACAGAAGTTGAGGGTTCTGACCAGTTGAAGAAGCGTGGCTCATTCCACGAAGACCAGTCGCCACTGAATACTGAAGGGGTGAATCAGCCTGGTATGGAACTTCAAGAATCACATGAGATGCCTGTCAACTTGGTCGATGAAGTTGATGAAGAATTTGATTATGGCGGTGAAACAGAGAAAGTTGGATCTAATATCCTAGTTGTTGCTGGAGTTTCTACTATCTCCATAATATTGGCATAACTAGCTTTTGTCTGTCGTTCAAGGATAGGTAAAACTAGTTCCATAGAAGATTCTCAACCTACGCTAGAGCCATTTTCTCCATAATTTTGGCATATCTAGCTTTTGTCTGTCGTTCAAGGAAAGGTAAAACTAGTTCCATAGAAGATTCTCAACCTACGCTAGAGCCATTTAAGTCTACAGAAGAGGATAAAATAACACAAGTACTTGCACTGGAGGAAGAGCACATTGAGAAGACAATGAAGCCAGGATTTCCGGCTGAGGAGGAAGAGCACATTAGAAAGGAAATCGAATCTTCTACTAGGCCTTTATCCTTGTCTAATTCAATAGCAGAAGCACCCCAAGAAGCCAGCGGTTTCATCCATGCGCCAACCATTGAGTTGCTAGGAGAAATTGTGATTAAAGAAGTCAGCAGCTCCCACAGGAAAATCCCGGTGATTGAATATGAAGTGAGCAATGCTTCTCAGAAGGGGTCGAAATCTCGTCCAATTTCTGTTTCATCTCAAATATTCACACAAGAGATTTCGACTAAAGATTCACCATCATATGGAAGCTTTACTGATGAAGGGAAGATTTTAAAGAAAGAGGTAATATTGAATCACTCATTCAGTAGCATGTTTTCGTTCCTTTTCCCTTTCGTCTTCTTTTGATCACTGATAAAACATTTCCATCCTTATGCAGGGAGGCAAATATGGAGAACCCAAGATAGAATTCATTACTCCAGTTAGGCGGTCGAGTCGAATTCGCGACCGCACAGTCATGTCTCCATGAATCTTCATCACTCTTCCGCCATACTAGGTGAAGAGGTTATTTACTTCTGTCCTCTTTATTCTATCTTCCTACAATCTGTGTAGGAAATGTTTGTTTGATAAATTAGATGGATGTTTCTTAATTCAGATAATTAGTCTACATTTTGATTCTGAAAGTGGAAGTTCTGTTCTGCTAATTAGTCCACATTAATAAAATCAAAGGTAGGTATGCAATTAATAAGATAATGCAAAAATATTGTGAAGAACTCAAAACTCGGAGAAAGGACATATCATAACGAAATATAGAGGCAATTAGTTCACTTGCTGCAAGGCAGCATTAATAATAACAAACTTGAAGCAAAGGGCAAGTATATTCTACAAAAGCAGTCCCATTCTTTGTAGTTATTTTTTTCTGCAAACACTCATCTGTCGGTAGCACATGTAGAGTAGAAGATGAAACCCCAGAAACCAGAATCGATAACATAGTCAAGAACGCAGGGGCAAACTTACATGCCCTGAGCAATAAGGTAGTCTCCCAGCTTCTCGACCACCATGCTACATTGTCCCGCTGTCATTGGTTCCTCATAAACGCCAAAAATGAGAGCTTTGCAGGTTTTCTTTATAGTTACACCACCAGACCCCTGCATCGGAAGGGATAATAACAAAATTAAGGCTTAATGTAGTTAGCAAAGGGGGGAAGTGGGGAACACAACATGTGCCACGTTAATAGTTGGAGGAAATATTGCAAAGAAATCCCCTATTGTAATTTAAACGATGACAACAACCAAAAAATTGAACTTTATTCTCAATAAATGTGAGGTCAGCTACATGATTACATTCTTTTGGCAAACATCCAATCTGTGTTACTATTTGAGATCTATGAAGTCATGCCCCCACCCAACTAAGTCCACTTTTCTTCAATTTATTTTCAATTGTCTTCTTTCTTATTTTAGAATACAGATCCATCTCAATATAGCATCATCAACATTTTTTAAGAAAAAAATTAATCTTTACTCACACACACTGAGAGACTGGCCAAATTGTAACAAACCTTTAAGTTCAGTAACCAACAAACTTTTCTTGAAACAAATTTTATTCTCACTGACCAGTTCAAAATAAAATAAAATCTAGTGACCAAGATTAAGGGGGTGTCCTCAATTGAAATTGTGATGGATTTTAAAAATCCTTCTAAATTTACGTGTTTTCAATTGAGATTTTAATGGATTTTAATGAAATTCATCAAAATTTAGGTGTCCTCGATAACTAGTAGGTTTATAAAAATTTTATTAATGGATGGATTTTAAAAGATTTGGATGGATTTCAAGCTTAAAAATACATATAATCTGTGAAAAATTTCACCATATTTAATAAAATTCTTGTGAAATTTGTGAAAATCTATTCAAATCCATAAAATTCACTGAGATTTATAGTCTTTTAAAATCCATCAAAATCTTAGTTGAGGATACCCCCATAAATTTCATTAAAATTTCAGCGACCACTAGTGTTTTTAAGCCAATGAACAATAAATGCTTACATATGCATACTCATTCTTATTGGGTACTTCTATTTCCATCCACACTTTTTAATGTTATTCATCCTCAGTGGGGATGAAAACATAGTTTAGGTGGCTTTAAATGATAGGTTAAATGAAAGGTGAAATTAAATAATTCACTTATCATTTAATGTCACGTTAACGCCACGTAGACTGTGTTTTCATCCCCACTGGGATGAATAGCATTACTCTATATATATACATCCACTTTTAAAAATTAAATTTTATTATATTTTAAATCCTTTGTAAATTTACTTGGACAAAATTAAAAATACATAACTCTAAATTGATTTTTCTAACAAATGAAAACCCAAAATCCAAATTTAAATTACTCTAAAAATACATAACTCTAAATAGACTATTTATATGTATTACCTTTTGATGTTGGTCAAAGGATAGTTCTGATGCAGAAATTAGACGACGACATCTAGAGCAATAGGTATTGCTGAGAGCTTCTCTGTACCTCATGTTTTCTGCGCGCAGCATTTCCTT